ATTAAGAATTTAAAATATAAATAATAATTTATATTTTTAATAAATATATATATTCAAATTTTTTCATAAATAGAAATTATATTTTATATATAAAGTTTAAATAGATATTTAATTATTAGTACTATAAATTTGCTAAAATATAATTATATTAAGTAAATATTTCAAAATAATTATAATATTATTTTATTAAAAAATATAATTTTTTACTATTTATAATAATAATAATTATATATTTATTAAAGTTGAATCTTTTTAGTAGTTTGAGTAAAAAAAAAAATATATCTGAATAATTTAATAATATAATTAAGCCTAAAAAACTTATATTAAATAATTTCTTTATTAATTTTAAATTTGAATTAGTTTCTTAAACTATATCTTTATTTTTACTTATTATAATAAAATAATTTTGATTTACTATTTTACTAATTTAATAATATTAAAAAGAAGAAATTATATATATATATATATATAATTAGAATAATAAATTTTTTAATTTTAATTATTTTTTTAAAATTAAGTAATATAATACTTATATAAATAAAGAAAAATATTAATTTTTTATTAATACTTTAATAACTACTTTACTAAAAGTTTATTATAAGTTTATAATTAGTTTTTATAAAGTTATAATTTATTTAATACTTATTTATAAAGTATAAAGTTATATTTTCAGGATAAAATAATATTAATAATTATATTATATATAATTTACATAAATAAAAATATAAAATTAAATGAATTCTAGAAAAGAATATAATAATAAAATTTATATAAAAATATTAATATTATTACTTTTAATAGAAATTATATATAATATTAATTCAAAATAATAACTAAGTTTTTTTAATTTTTATTAATATTATTATTTATAATTTAAATTAGATTTATATCTCAAAAAATATTAGTAAATTATTTTTCAAAATGAAATTTTAATACTATTTTGTTTAATTATATTATTAGATATTGAAATTTATTTAAATATAAAAATTTTTATTATATATCTTTAAAAAAATTCTTTTTTTAAATATTATTTCTTAAAGTTTACTATATAAAATTAATAGAAAAATTATATAGTAAATAATTTAATTATCTAACTTTGAATCTTAATATCTATTAATTTAATTTTTATGAATTTAAAATATAAATTTATCAAATCTAAAGCAATCTGCTTATATAATTTGAAGTTTTAATATTATAAATTAATAGTAATAATATTTAAAGTATTCTTTTTTTTTAAAAAAATAATTTTATTTTAATTTTTTTTTAGTAAATTAATACTTTCTTTATTATTAAATTAAAGTATAATAGAATAATTAAAATAGTATAAAAAGTTAATTTAGATTATTTTTTATTTAATATAAAAAATTATAGAGATTAGTTAAAATTTGAATAATTTTTATTAGAAATAATTATTAATTTTTATATTAAGATACAAATCTTTTTATACTAATTTATATTTAATATTAATATTATTAAAAAATTTTAATAATAATTAATAATTAATTATTTATATTTATATTAATTATAAAACTGATAGATAATAATTAATTTTTTTAATTATTAATTATTATTAATTTTTTTAGTTATTAATTTATTAATTAAATTTAATTATAATTAATATTAATAATAATTTATAATTAAAAAATATTTATTATTAAAAATATATTAAATTTTAAATAATATTTTTATTAATATAATTCTTATAAATAATTTTATTTAATTATTTAAAATATAATTATTAAATAAAAATTATTAAAAATATTTTATAAAATTTTTATATATAAAATAAAGAATAATTATTTATATTTTTTAAATAAATTTACTTAGTTATTTAAAATATTATTATATTAAATAATAATTATTAATATCATTTTATAAAGTTTTTATATATAAAATAAAAAATAATTATATAATAGATAATTATAATAATCATATAAAAACTAATCTAAAACTTCTAATTTAATAATTAATTACTTTTATATTTGCTAAATAATTTTACTTAATTATATAAGTTATAATTATTAAGTAGAAATTTTTTAATATCATTCTTTAAAGTATTATTTAGAATAAAAATAATTATATAATAACTTAATAAAAATTAATTTTTTAAAATTAAAGATTTATACTTAATAAAAATTTTATTTAGTTATTTAAGATATAATAATTAAATAAAAGTTATTAATATTATTTATAAAAATACTTATAAATCATTTTAAAAAATATTAAAATATTAAAATTCAAAAATTATATCAGATTATATATTAATAATAATTAATATATAGATTTATTATATTACTAAATTCAAAATAATCTGTAATAATAAATATATTTTATATACTAATAATTAATTAATATTTTAGTTTTAATATTATATTATTAGCTGAAATTTATAATTTAATAAGTATTCTTAATTATTTATTAAAATTTTTATATATAAAAAATAATTATATAATAAAAATTATAATAATCTAATAAAACTTCTCAAAATTAAAATTCAGCTATATTAAATAAATAACTTTATTAATTATTTAATATATGATTATTACAAGTTATTACTATATAAGTAGATTTTATCTGAAATATAACTTATAATAATGAGTTAGAATATAAATTAAATTATTTATAATATTAAGTGACATCAGGTATTTTAAAGATTTTTAATTATTAATACTTATAAGTATTATATTGAATCTATAAAATAAAAGTAAAAAAGAAGCATAATTACAAAATATAAAATATAAGAAATTCTGATCTTGATTTTTTTTATTATCTTTCAAGTAAAGAATACAAAAACTGATACAAAAGTGAAAAAATATATATTAAACAATAAATTAAAACTTTTTATTACTTAGATAAAGCTTGCAAAATCTTTTCAATCAATAAAATAAAAAGATATAGCTTATTAAAGTTGAAATCTTACAACTACTAATAATTTTAAGGCAAGAGAAGTGAGTATTAACCAATATAATTTATTATAATAGAAAATATAAATAAAAGTAATTATTAAAGTAAAGATTTATGAATAATTACAAAATAATTAAATTAAAACTTTCAAGTATATTTATTTCATGTCTTCAAGTACTGATATTTATATATATATAAAATTATTAATATCTATTAAATACTTAACTAAATATTATAATATAGGTTATTTAAATATCTAATAGACTTCTCACAAGAGACTAAACAAGAATCTCATGGATAACTAATGAATTTCTATTTTAATTAATCAATATTATATATATTCTTTTCCAATAATATAACCTTAGCAACCAATTTTTTGAGCAATTCAAGCACTTCTGCAAAGACCTAGAACAATAGACAACTTTGCTCAATATGGAATTCTAAAAGGAAGCTTTTTCAATTCCTTGATTAAATTGAGGCTGCAGAGGCGGATTGTGGGTCGTGGTCGGGATAGGAGCAGTGATGGTGGTGGTTGTATAACCGAAACATTGCATAAATTGAGTTTTGCGCTTATAACACGTTGAATGTTTGAAACATTTACAAGTTGTAAAGTTTTTAGTGTGAAGAGAATTGGGAGTTGATTTTGAAATAAATTTCGTAAAGAAACGACGACGAGACTTGGAATCAATGTTCTATAATATTTCAGTTTTTTTGTACGAGTCATATGTTCTTCGTCAACATCCCTTATATAGGTCGACTCAATCGAATTTCAAGTTCACGATCCAAAATTGTCTCATATAACTGAGACATTATGTCATAGGTTAATCGCAATGAATTTTTCGATGATCTAAATTATATAAAATGGATAATTTTAGGGTTCCGGGAAATCCGACACTGATTTCTTTACACGAGCAGATCACCAAACTAAATTTAATTTTTGACCCAAAACCCATTATATCGTTATCTGTTAGACTGTGTACTATTGTTGCATTTTCAACTGCGAAAGTATAGAGATAGTATTTTTTTTTCCTGCTTTTCTTCAAGATACTAGCCATAGCAAACAACGATGTCCTCGCCGCCAGAAATCGCGAAAGAGAGAGAGAAAGAGAGCGAGCGGCTATTCAAAGCTCGAAAGCAGAACACAAGCTTCAAAAACTTCAAGGTCTAGTACCAATAGCTTTTCCAGAGCGCGCGAGAGGAAATAATATATTCAGTCGAGTTTGAAAATGGGTAATGCGCATTAACGATCCACATTAGTGTCAATCAATAAAGTAGGACGGGTTTGATTTGACGTTGTGTTTATTTCATCGGCGTCAATCAATAAAGCAGCATCATCATTATTGATCGTTGAGGGAAGAGTTGTCGAAACGATATCAGTGTCATTAGTGTCAAGCATTAACGTTAAAGCAGTATCATCGTTGATCGTAGTGTGTGAATTAGCATTGATCATAGGAGTATCGATATCAGTAGAATTCCTTATAACATGTAATATTATGTTTCTCAACAATTGTAGCTTTTTGATTCCTTCAAACCATGAATAAATTTTTTGCTATCAAAGACAACACAACTTCTCTAAAATGTTTCAATAAATTTGGTTGAATTATGATTCTTTGAAAAAAATGTCCGTTAACTAATTTTTATGTTTGCGTTTGGATATAAAAAGTGTATGCTATTTGTGTGTGATTATGCATGTGCTAACGTTTGAGATCTTGATTTGCTAGTTATTTGTTATTTGAATCGAGTAAGTTCTCTGAGAAACTTGACATGTTACATGGACGATATCTATTGTTGACGAAGAATAAACGTCCTTTCAATGTTTATTTAGCCACTGTCTGCCTTAATGAGTAATAATTCCCTTCAAGAAGTCACAAATCGTTAGGTCATCCTCTTTGAATGATGCAACTCAACAACCGAATATAATCGTACCGTCATCACCACTTCAGCAATAACTATTGATCGTACTCACTCTCCCATGATGAGTTTCTCTGCAGAATATTATACTCGTGCCAGTCGCCTTGGATTTTTGGTAATCTATTTTAAAAATTATAATTTAATATTATAATATCAAAAAAGAAAGGAACTAAAGAAAATACAACTTACTCTTCGGGTAAGCAGGCCATTGGTTCTTCTTTGAAGAAGTTGAAATCCAAAGCATCTCGAGCAGAAGGGCGTCTTTCAGGATTCAAGGTCAACAAGGCCTCCGCCAACTCCATTGTGGCCGGTGTCAACAATCTAAATGAGAAACATTCTTTAAATTATGGCTTTAAATTGAACAAATGCAAGTTTATATTTCAATATGATGTATATTTACTCTTTATATTCTTCTCGAAATCTTGACATTTGACGCATCTCCGGTGCCATTATATAATACTGGGGAAGTTTTATGACATCAGGCCATTCTTCAAGAGATGGTGAACCTAACAACTGAAAAATAATATTCAGCTGTTCCCATTCATTCTTTCCTTGAAAGAGTGGCTTCCGAGCAAGTAATTCTACCAAGAGACACCTAAATAATTAATTCAACAATTATTAGAAATTATATTGTAAAAAGTAAAATTGATAAAAATTATGAGTATCTTACCCCACGCTCCATACATCTATCCCCGGTCCATATTTTGTGGCACCCAAAATAAGTTCAGGTGCTCGGTAGCATAAAGGAACTACGTGACTTGTATAATCTAACTGGCGTTTACGATTGTATCTCCGAGCCAGTCCAAAATCGCCCAATTTGAGTTCACCACGATTGTTCAGCAAGATATTATTACATTTGATATCTCTATGTAATATTCCATGCTCATGAACAACCGCCAGACCTTCTAAAAGTTGCAACATTAAACATTTTATATGTTGCACATCTAATTGGAGTTGCGGATTATATAGAACTCCTTTTAGATCATGTTCCATATATTCAAATACGAGATACACATCGTCTAAAAAACATTGTAAAGAATTAATAAAGGCTAAAGACATATTTTTAAGCATGAAAATTATAATTAGCTTACCTCTCGTAATGATAGCCTCCAATAAGTTTACAATGTGATCATTTTGTAAAGCTCGGAGCAACATGATTTCACGTAAAGATAATGGCAACTAATAGGAATATGAAATCTTAGTATATTTTTATAATTGAGAATGATATTATTAAGTCAAATTACTTCTTCTTCGCTCTCCATTTTAATTTTCTTCAATGCCACAATTTGGCCAGTTTTTCGACTCCTCGCTTTGAACACGATGCCATAAACACCTTCTCCTACTTTTTCCAATATCTCATACAATTCCGAGATCGTATTATTTAAAGGCTCTACTTGAACGGATGATGCTTCATGCATTTTCCTCATATCTGCAAGAAAATTATCTACTTGAGAAGTAACAGGAGTCGTCGCAGGGTCATTTGGCGATAGCATGAATCGATTTCGTGTAAATTGGGGTTGAGGCAGGAAAAGATCAGGTTGAAGGTTTGCATGAGACTTTTCTTTATCAATGTTATAGGTATCATCATGAGAGAGTCTCGCATTATTATTTCTTCTCTTATGACGACCTCTTTTTTCGGCATCGCTGCTTCTATGTCTTTTAATTCCATGTGTTTCTTGGTTATTAGTTGTTCTCCAAATATTTCTTCCACGATCATAGTAACTAGTTCGACGTGAAGAGCTTATGCGTCGACTATTATGAGTTTTGCCTCGAGTCCAATTATCTCTACTGTACCGATCTTTTCTATCGTGTTTTAAACTTCCGCTATAGGTGTCATGAGAGTATCCCGCATTATTATTTCTTCTCTTCTGGCGATCTCTATTTTCGGTATCGCTGCTCCTATGTCTTTTAATTCCATGTGTTTCTTGGTTATTAGTCGTTCTCCAAATATTTCTTCCACGATCATAGTAACTAGTTCGACGTGAGGAGCTTATGCGTCGACTATTACGAGTTTTGCCTCGAGTCCAACTATCTCTACTATTCCGATCTTTTCTATCGTGTTTCAGACTTCCGCTATAGGTATCATGAGAGTATCCCGCATTATTATTTCTTCTCTTCTGGCGATCTCTATTTTCGGTATCGCTGCTCCTATGTCTTTTAATTCCATGTGTTTCTTGGTTATTAGTCGTTCTCCAAATATTTCTTCCACGATCATAGTAACTAGTTCGACGTGAGGAGCTTGTGCGTCGACTATTACGAGTTTTGCCTCGAGCCCGATGCTCTCTGTTATATCGATCTTTTCTATCTTCATTACTATGTCTTAGATTTCTGCTATAGGAATGAATATGAGATCTTGCATTAATATTCCTTCTCTTACGATGATAGTAGTAGTTGTCTTTGTGACTGCTCATTATCACGAATAATTCTACAAAATTTCGAATGTAAAAATACAAATTGCGAAATGTGTTGTCAGTATATTTTTGAACGCGGTAGTGTCAAACTAGATATAAGTTATCATTGCAAGCCGAAAGAACATACCTGCTTCAAAAGCACTATAACAAGTCGTCAGATAGGTAGACTCTCTCCAGTTCGGAAGAATATTATAAAGCCCAACTATTTTGAAAATAATATATAGAGAATTATTGTATGTTAATAAAAATATATAAAGGTCGATTTTGGTAGAAAGGAAAAAATATTATTTAGCTATTTATTATTTAATTAAAAATAAAATAAAAAATAAAGGGTAACACATAACGTAAAGAGACGAGAAGAAAAATGTTTAAAAAATGAAAACACTATACAACGACGGGGAGAAAGCGCGGCGAAGAGATCTGTACAATGCAGAACTGATTATTAAATAGTTGTGTAGTAGTTATTTATTACAAACTACCACTACAAGAATATAGATGACGAATGAGGACTGACAATTCTGTGGTCTCAACAAAAACCAGGTCGTTGATTTACCTGTGATTTTCTATTTTTTTACTTACTACTAGTCTTAGTAATCTACACCTTCGCTTTTGTTTGGTAGGTTCTGTCTGTAATAGACGATAATAATAAATCTCCTTGTATTTTAGATACAGTACCGATATATGGCTTGGAGCAGATTGTCAAAAATGATTTGATTTATGCTTTTCATCTCTATATATATATTTTTTTTATTGTTGATTGTGCTATGCTTTATGATTCTGCTTATCATGCATTAAGATGGTCCCAGATAACAAAGTTAACTTCACGAATATCGCTAAAAGTATGTTGATTACAAACACATCTATCATTAGTTATTTTTGAAACGATGACATAATGGTGATGATAATGATGATGATACAACATGTTATTGAGAAATCGATGCATTAAACCAGCCAAGTTAACTTCACAAATATCGTGTTGATTACAAACACATCATATCATTAATTATTTTTGAAACATGACATGATGGTGATGATAATAATATAGTGATGATGATACGGTTTTACCACACTCTGAAAAATGTTACGTTATTGAGAAACTGATATATTTTTACAAGAGTGTGCATGTATGGGTGCTCGCAGTATCAAATATACACACGATAATTGCTATTGTCACCTGAAAATTGCCAGTGGCTGCATTTTGAGCTTGTAAATTATAATATATAACATAAATTGAAAACTACAGTCCTCTCCTTAATACGCATATTTCAATAACTCTGGGTGAAACGGGGGTGATGTCCAATGCAACAGTGCTTCATCTAATATTAACAAGATTGCACTTTTATGCGCTGCCAAAACACTATCAGATAAAAAGATAATTTGTTGAGTACAACAAGGTTAAAGCGCTCCGAGACTTTGCAACGCCTGCAGATCAATTTTGGTTGTTCCTATCTAAATTGAGATTTCCCTTTGTTTGAATGCAGATCAATTATCATCCATGTATGTTAAATTAATAAACTTATTTTTTTAGAATCTTTTCCGACTATCAATAATTTATCAAATTCATCTTATAATTTGATTAAATTTATATAATTCATGAATAATTCTTTCATTATTATAATACATGTAATAGATTGATCTTTTATATCCTGAACATAGTTAATAATAACTCAGTTTGTTAGATTTAAGAAAATATTATTGTATAATATGCCATTATAATATTTTATTTACATATAGTAATTCTATTAATATGTAGTAATTTTATTAACATGTATAAGCTAAAACTTTAGAATAATATATTTTAAAATATTATTGCAATAATAAGATATATTCTTAAGAATAAGAATCAAATCAAAGTAATCAGATATAAAATATATTATATATAAGAATTTTGAGCTATTTTTTGAAAAAAGTTTATTAACTTATTGATCTTGTAATTTAACTCTTAAAATTATATGAAAGTGATTTTATTTGCTATATTAAGAATATTATATATGAAAATATATATAATATTTATATATATATTTTTATTATAATATGAATTAATGCAAAAAGATTTGTATCCCAATATAAAATTAATAGTTACTTCTAATAAAATTATTCAAACTTTAACTAATCTTTATAACTTTTTTATATTAAATAAAAAATAATATAAATTAACTTTTTATACTATTTTAACTATTTTATTATACTTTAATGCAATAATAAATAAAATATTACTTTACTAAAAAAATTAAAATAAAACTATTTTTTTTAAAAAAAGATTATTTTAAATATTACTATTAATTTATAATATTAGAACTTCAAATTATACAAGCAGATTATTCTAGATTTAATAAATATATATTTTAAATTTTATAAAAATTGAATTAATAGTTATAAAAATATTAAAATTCAAAGTTAAGTAATTATATTATTTATTATATAATTTTATATTAATTTTAATCAAATTATTTATTATATAATTTTATATTAATTGTAATTGAATTTTATATAGTAAAATTTAAGAAATAAAAATTAAAAAAAGTTATTAGCAAAAATTTTTTTATAAAAGATATATAATAAAAATTTTTATATTTAAATAAATTTCAATATATAATAACTTATATTAGTAAATTTGATAGATATCAGATTAGTAACAATCAGTAAATATGCTAATCATCACTGATTTTTTGATTACACCAATCCAAAATCTGCGCAGAACTCTGAAAATAGAAATTTTAGAGAAGTATAACCTGAAGAAACTGTAATAATTAGCATAATTACAGATTATTATAGTTCTTTGGATAGAAATTAAATAGATAAATAATAAATAGATCAATTATATGCATTATCATTTATTTTTTTTCTTTGAAGTTTATTATAAATACAAATTTGACTTTAAAATTCTTTGGCCATTAGTTTTTTAAAACATATATTTATTTAATAAAAAAAAGTTTTTTTTGTCAAATCTTAGCACAATATATATCTCTTGTTCTATAAATTCTATTGGAATTATATTATACTCTTTAGTATAGTATAAATGAGAGTAACTATACTTTTCTGGCTTATTTGACATAATATCATATCAACAAACTATAGCTAGATTGTATGGATCCTTTGCCAATCTTTAAAAAAACCATAGAAAGAGCAGTATCTTTTAGAAGAAAATACAAAGGTTAATTCATTTAAAATTACTAAATTTGAAATTACATTTTATTATTCTTCAAGTTATATTTATCTTTCTGTATCAAATATCTTTATCTGATTTATAATAGCTTTGGTCTTCAGCTAAAGTTACTGTAATATTACTGAATCACTCTTTGTTATAAAAATTTCCAGATATTCTCAGAATTTTATCACTTTCCAAATGAATCACATTATAAACTTTTATATAAAAGTTTTCACTTTTGAATTCTTGTGATAATATATTGAGGAATATGTCTAACGCAATGATTATATATGATAATTCTTCAATAAAGTTTAGATATGGTAGACTTTTCAAATTCTTCAACAAAATCACTTTTACTTTGATAGCATTCAAAGGTAATTTTCATAATATCTTGCCAAATCCTATAGTTTTATGATAAACTGTCTTACTCATCATTAGAGCTAATTCTTTACACTTTACCTATAAGTATAGTTTAGAATTTATATATAATTGACATACTTAACTTACTATATTTACTATCTGCTACATGGTATTTTTTCTATTTGATAATTGGTATAGGTTTTTCATATATAACTTGTAAAGTGTTTCATATATTTTCATCAAGAAACTATTCAAGATACCATATTTATGAATTGTCAAAATCACATGATAATATCAACTATGCAGTTTAAAAAAACTATATTCTGTAATGGATAGTAATAAGAAAATTCTCTTAAATTTAGTTGACCAGTTGGTAATGAGAACCTGTATTCATTTTCAAAGTTTATTATTAGTTTTTCAAAGTTTAATTAATTTTGCTTTATTTTATCTCAAATTCTTTTAAATTATTTTCAGTAAATGACTCTTGTCTACTTATCATATACATCCTACTAAACTTTGCATAAAGCATGCAGAGTTCATTACAGATTATATCATTCCATGTCTTGAAGATATTATTTAATATGAAAAGAGTAATTTTCATGATATATTGATAATCTGCAACTGTTATCACTTTTATTTGATCCAATTTATCAAATAACTTCAACTCAGAAAAGCAAAAATTTGATAGAGACAGCTATCAAAATTGTTTAGTAATTCTATTTCTCCAACTTTCTTCAAAATATCTTGGGTGAAGTTTAATTAGTATTTGAAGAAATCAAGATCAATATGATATATATGATCAGATATGCAAGCTTCATAAATATTTAAGTTTCTATAATAATTTAACAATTTTAATTTAATTATAACTCAAAATTATTTAAAAATAATCATAAAAGGATTAGTATTCAAATATTCAAACACTTACAAGAACTTCCAGAATATATTTTCAATATTATGTATGGAAAAATCCTTGCCTCAATCTTTATTTATAATCTGTCACATATTTTTTGATATTCTAAGATTCATATTCTCTGATATAAGATTTATATTATTGAGATTATCCTACAGAATCATGCAGATGTAATATGCTATTTTGCACCTTGCTAATTTATATGTTATAATTACATTATCAGCTTCAAGCATATTCACAAAAAAGATTAAAATATGTGCTGCAAAAATTACTGGTTATCCCTATACTCCAAAATACAATTTGTTAGATTTTTCCATTAGAGAACCAAGTATAATTTTAAAGCACTTGTAATATACTTTATATTGTAAGCTTCAAAAATCTTCAGTGATTTTTATCATTAAGTCTTGAACTTTGGACAAAAAACCCAAAAGAACTTTAGCTTCTGGTTTATTTCAAAGCCAATTTGGAAAGTTGCCAAGTGTTAAAGATGTTCTGATATCTTGTCAAGACTATTAAAAGTAGTGACATCTGAATATAGAATAATCAATAATAGATGGTGTAATGAAGGAAGCATCTTTTCAG